CTGTGACACACCCTAAACCCTAAAGCTGGAAAAAAAAGCGCTGCAGAATGACAGAAAGCTATATGCTCGCTATGCCCTAACTGCAACACCGCCAGGACCTCATGCCAAAAAGCAAAAGCACATACTCGAGTGCAGCACCATCAAAACTGCTTATGACCCTACTTGTAATTATCCATATGAGCCCTACAACGCCTTATAACACCTAGTAGCAGCCCTGATACAGCCCAATAGAACCCTCTGAGATGAACCTGCAAGCAAGGATCGCTGATGTTGAGTGTGGCATTCCCAATCGGAGAGATGGCAGGAGGAGGCAGCACCTCATGGCCGGGGTATTGCGTTTTGGGTGGCAGGGCGCATGAGAACTAGTGTGAATCAATAACGTTAGGCAAATATGACAAAGCGCTACGGCGTGGTATTGTTGGTGTGTCTGTCTGTCTGTCTGTCTGTCTGTCTGTCTGTAGACATGTACATGGGTATGTATGTACGTATGCATGCATGCAGGGTCCGCAGGGTTTGGGCCCTGAGACCCAAACCCTAAAATGCCAAGTCACGTCCCAATCCACCACGGTGTCCACACGCTTCTCGTGCTGAACCTTTGTCCTCGGGGACCCGGTTGTTTGCTGATTTACGAGTTTTAAGAATCATGTGACAGTATTTATGATGAGACTAACAGTTTGAATAATAGGAATAAAGAGAATAGAAGTAAGAACAACAACAACAACAAACAAGTCACAACAGCAGCAAAACAAATACCAGTAGTAATGATGATCATACTAACTTTAGCAATAATAGGTGGGGCGTGAGCTACTAAAAAAGTAGTAAGGCGATATAGCATGTGAGACCATAATATATCCATTATATATATATATACAGTATATAGTGTAGGAAATATATTATGCAGTATATAATATCTAATATACAATATATATATATATATATTGTACAGTCAATAATACACAAAATGTAATGTATAATACCTAACTTACAACATATCGTATATCATATCTAATACACTGTATATATATATATATAACATTTACTTTATAATATAAGAATACAAAATAAAATGTGACATACAATACACTATTTCTGACATACAATGCATAAATGCAGTATATGAGACTATAATATATTACATACTCATGACAACACCAATTCTCATTGGAGCAGGGTTCCTTATGGTATAATCGCAATAGGTTTCTCAAGAAGGGCCCCAAACCTTGAACCCCAAATAAAATCAGGCTACTTACTCAAAGGACCCTCAACCCTGTACTCCGAAATTCCAAAACCCAGAGACCTAAACCTGAAAAGATCAACTGAGAAGGACGGGCTCATCTGGGGCTGACAGCAGAGCTGGCTTTCAAGCGCTTCTTGAAACCATTGTTCTTTCTTTCGGTCTTGCGACCTACGACATGCAACAACCTCCTAGAACCACACAAACCCGAAAGCCCTATGCCCAAAAACCCGAATCTCTTAATCCTCACGCCCCAAGCCCAAACCCCTAAACCCCAAAGGTCAAAACTCTAAAGCCAGAAACCACTAGATAATACCAGGCCAAAGAGTCCACATCGCCTTACTTGGGCAAGCTGGACGCTTGTGCCTCAGCTTTGCTCATGGGGACGTTCCTTTGCGTGATCGTTGGAGTTTGATTCAGGGATTGTAAGCTTTAAGGTTTAGTTAGGGGTGACGTGATACCTATTGTTGTGTGCTGTGATTGCTGGCGACCTTGCTTAGTTTGCGCCGGACTGTGCAGCATACAGCCTTGTCCTAGCGTCCAGCATGTCGCGTAGGATGGGACATCTCGTCAGGATGTCCCATAGCAAGGTTCGGACTTTTGCTGGCAAGCGGCGTGTACTCCATAGGGGCCACGTCCGAGGGGACAAAGCTGCACTTGTCGACCTGTCGCCCAGACCCTCAAAGCATCCACCAAATGGAATCCTAAGACTCAGGGCCTGTCCTAGCGCATATAATTGCAGGATAGCTTCTTCAGGGTTCTACTCTTCTAGACCCTTTCCGGGCCTGGGCTTAGCTGTCGTGAGCCTCTTCTAAACGTAGCCAAAGCCTATGAACCTTCGAAGCAACCTGTAAAGAACACTGTCAACAGCCACTTGCCTCGGAGGCCGGTGCGTTCCAGGTGCCGTTCACCTGGTACTTCAAGTACTGCTTTTGCCTCCCATGCACACATTCGGATGTTCGTGATTTAGGGTGTTTAGTGTTTAAGGTTTTTAGGGTTGAGGGACAAGGGCGTGTGGGGTTCAGGGTTTACGAGCAAGGTTGTCGGAACCTTGCCACGGAACGCTAGCACTACTTTGTCTCAAGAATGACAAATGTTCATAGGAGGTTGTGCACAGATTCTAGGGTTTCAGGCTCTTCAGGTTCAGGCTGAACTTCAGAAACCTCTACGGTTTAGTGCTTTAGCTGAACTTGATATTCTTGAGACTGACATAGCATTGCAACAAGACCTAGAACTTAGATGTATGCTAGCAGCACAAAGATGCATGTATGCACAGCTACTTTACTGCAGTAGACTAGTTTGGGCGTGCATTCCGCTTCGTAGGAACGGCAATGGTAGCAACAGCGATGACCAAAGTTAACGTGCGTTTTGGCATTATCAAGAGTTACCCTACGTTACCCAGTACCGCACCACAGTTATGACGGGCCTTATCACTGAGTCTGGTAGGGAGACCTCTCACATAAGGGTATTGCGCTGGAGAACCGATTGCAGCAGTGACGCGACTAGGTCATTTATTTGGATGCATTCTCTGCACTAAACCTACACCGCGCGGCTTGAGCAAAGATCAAAAATCAAGCCGAGAAGCAGCTGAAAGTAGTTGTCGAGCAGGTAGAGCTTATCCTTCCAGGGGTTTATGTCTTGCCTGGAAGGCCCCTGCTGCATGGTTTGGCCAAGGGCCAATCATTTGTGTAAATGGTTGAGTCAAACGATGCAGTAAGTGGGTGCCGGCTTCGGGCAAAAAAAAACCCCAAAATGATGCCAAGCAATATTGCGAGAACCGCAAGGGATGGACGATCGGTGGCGGCAGGCATGGAGAGAGACGAAGAGCGGGAGAGAGACAATTAAAGACACCGAACGAGTGAATGAACGACGGGGAGCAACTCTAAGCTGCAGCCGCAGCAGCAACAGTGTGAGTCCCTGAGGCACTTCAAACGACATCAGCTCATCGAGTTTGCAGATCGGTCGGTCTCGGACCCAGCTCAACAACAAAAGGTGATACACCTTCCAGAACATCGATCTGGTTTCACAACCCTGAGGCCTGGCCGGCAAGGAATCCCGGAGACAGTGTGAGGCCATACTCCTCCTTGTCCTCGAGTCAGCTTGGAAACCAATGTGCTTCTGATTCTACCACGACAAGGAGAAGTGATGAAATCCAAGGCTGTGGCCATGGACCATTGGAAAGCAACGGCGCCGCTCATGAACTGTCCCATGTCCTGTGCGCGAGGCTTTTGGGTGGGCTCATCCTCAACGAATTCTGCACAGCTCTCTGCCACATCAGGTGTAGGGAGGGCTTAGGACCTGAAGAGTATACGGTATACGGGTTAAGGGGCTTGTTCAGTTTTTGGAAGAGTCCACAATACTCTTCCGAAGTGCAGAATCCGGACACCCCAGCCCAATCTAAATCCAAAACCCTTAAACCGCGAAGCCTCAGCTGAGCCCCGTTTTGTGTTGGCTCCTCACCAAGGAAGTGCTTCACATCTGGCCATGTACGGCCACCTTCCACTGAAGAAGTTCCACCACTACTGTAGGGGGTCTACAAGAGGTCTGTAATGCAAGGGCTTTGGGATCTTGAGTATATCATAGTCTTTTTCTTCTTTTTCTGATCAGGAACCCTGAGGAATAGTATTGGCAACATTCAGGCTTGTGACGCAGTTCCATTCTTTGCTGGGTTCTTGCCAAGGAACTTACTCTACGTTGCCACAAATGGCAATGCGTTGCATTAACAAAACTTGCCCTATTTGGGTAACTTAAATACTAAGAAAGTTGCTTCATTGACAAAGAACACAGTTTAAGATTCAGGGGCTGCTGCAGTTGTAGCGATGCCACGCATTGTGCACCAAAACGGATCAACGGGGTTTACGCTTCGGGGACATGGGGTTTACTTGTCAAACCACCCCAGAATCCTGTGAGCGAAGAAGCTCGGTCTACAATTGCAAAGCATGAAGATCCTTTTCAACTTAAGCCATTCAACATGTTGAACCCTCTATCCTAGATCATCTAAAGCTCTTTAACCGTAAACCCGTAACAGTCGTTAACCCGAAACCCACAAAAATCCTTCAACCCTTCAACCCTCGCCCCTCAAAGCCAAATTTCGGAGGTTCTTCTGATGCCTTGAGCTTTAGGCCAGATTGCTTGTGCGATCACGGCCAGACAGTGTCCAACATCTTCCATGCAACATCTTCCATGCACGGAGCTCATTCAAGAGATTTTGGGTGTAGGACCCAGGGTTTCCAGGATGGGTTTCCGGGTTGAGCTTACAGCGTGGTTCAGAGATGGTCAAGGAGAATAAGCTTACAGTACTCACGCAACTTCCAACCTGCATCCGCCGGCACGTGGCCAATCACACATGCCAACTCCCGCGAACCCCAAACGCTAAAGCCATTTGAAGCCTTACTCCCTGAACCGCGAAGCCCAAAGGCCTTAGAAAACCCTACACCCTCAAACCCAAACACTGAAAGCCCTTGAACACCCGAAACCCCTGCAACAGCACCGCGCCTGGGTAGGGGCATTTCGTTTTGAACACGCCCAAATTGCAGCCGAACCTGGTCTGGCAGCTCGGGAATTTCAATTTTGAATCCATTTCCCACAGCTTAGGAGCCCGGGGGTTTAGGAGTCTGAGCTGCAAGGCTCTGGTGCTTCAGGGGCTTTGGGTGTTGGGGCTTTAAAGTCTTGAAGACTGGCAAAGATGCTACATGTAGATACAAGCGCCTGTGAGGGCATCCTAAACTGATGCTTGGACCTCCATCAGCAGCCGCAGGTAAGGAGTCTACTATATCTCCAGCCACGTTCTTTACGGATCAACCTGTCGTTTAAAGCAGTTGCCTCAATTAAGAACTTTCCGGCTTCCGAAAGAGTGGATTTCATATTCTTTAGATCGAAAGTTTGGGCTGTCTAATCTGCCATGTGCGGGTAGTTCTATTTTCTGGGCCTGTCTGAGTCTACATTCACACAATGCTTTGGAGATTTACGGCTTTGGGTTTAGGGCTAGCATTTTCGAGTTGAAGCTCCTAGTGAACTATTCTAAGATTGGTGGAATAAAGATCAATAAAGGTCATGCGATCTTTAAGTCTGTCCTGGACGTCGAAGAACACACATGGAGCAAGCACATGCCCCCGAATATGTGTTTCGCCGCCCCGCCAAATCAAAGGTGCTTGAGTTCGCGTCTAAGCCAAGAAACCCACTGGTTTGAAACAGGCAAAGGTTGATGTGGATAGATGGGAAGACACAAACACAAACACAAAGACATAGACACACACACACACACATATATATATATATATAGATATTTATATGTGTGTGTGTGTGTGCGTGTATATGCGTTTACAGAAACAAATATGTATGTACGCACAGATAGTTTGTGTATATATACATACATACATGCTAAGCTTACATACATAGATATGCATGACATTTCTTTATATTCTACATACAGACATACGTGTATAGTATAAACACCGTAGAACGTCGGATTACTATTCCAGGGGCTCGCTGAAAATGAAGGGCACCGAAAAGTCCTCGAAATCCTCCGACAGCTGTTTGGGGGGGCAATTGGATCTTGGGGTCTTCGTACAAGACGACAGGATACTTGCGAAGCTTGAGGTCCTACTCATCGACGGTGCAAGCTAGCGCTGAAGCATCCAAGTCGCAATGAAACATGAAGGCTGTTGAAACCCACCGTCACTCTGAAACTACATACTCCCTATCAGGGGTATCAAAGTTAGTTTCGAACAATCCACACATCTGCCCGAATCCCGCGTCCTGCTTGATATCCTTGTACGGCGAATACTGGAAGTTGTCGGCCTTTCCGTCACCAGGATACGTTTCCTGAGCTTGCAGAAAGCTTGTCAAACTATCCTGGGCGCATTAAACAGGGCCTGGGGGTACACCGCATTGTCGTTAAGCAGGTTTGCAAGTGCGGGTATATACAGGTTACAACCGAGCATCCTGTTTCACCACGTGTGCATTTGCGGTTGCTGCGCAGGTGTTGTCTCCCACAGCCCGATTCGCGAGTCGGGTTTTTGATCCCAGAGTGAACCCACTGGACATGCTGTAACTTTTCTCTCCCACTCCTGTTTCATGCCAAGCTGCATCGCACCACGAGTAGACGTTCAGACCGTAGGCGTCAACGGCATCAGCTTCGCTTTCCAAAGCGCAGGTCAAGTAACTCGGCAGGTACATAACATGGTTTGATTTGGTCTACTGGGTGACTGCACGCACTTGTACATACAGGTGCAAAGCCCAAGGCTACAAAGACCAATGGCCAGTGGTATTGGGCTTCGAAGTCAGGACATCACACGGGTGGCTCACTCTGCGTGCTTACACGGCTTAAACTTACCTGCGCTGCCAGAAAGAAACAACAATTAGCCAGGTGCGCTCCAAGGGTCTCGGCGACAACCTCGTGCAAAGCGAAAGAGTTGTTGCTACAGAAGAACTAACATGGACTCGTCTAAGCTCCAGATCACCAAGTTTCCGCGCAGCTCCACTACCCAAAAGTCGGGAATATTGCTTAGCTTCAAAGCTCTGGGATTCTTGAACACATGACTTGAGCAAAGGGATGTTGGAGCTTCTGGACATATCTTCGGAAAGCCGCCTTACGAGCAATGCCGCCACCGGTGTCGACATCGGAGTAGATCAGCGGCACCTTGCCTTGGAGGTTCTGCCGAGGAACGCAGCTATCATCAACATTGGGCAAAACATCTAATCTATACATAATATAATTGTAAACATAACCCATCTAGCTTTCTACACTCTTTGGGCTCTGATGTCTGTACGTGTAGGATCGTAGACATTATGCGAAGACTGTCGTGCCTTTGCAGGAAGGCCGAGGATTCCAGGAGGCTCTCTCAGGCTTCCCAGGCAAAAGCCCCCCAAGAGCCTCAGAGATGGTCCCCCCCACCCCCTTCCCTTCACAAACAAGCATTAAAAGCAAATGGAGCAATCTTCGAAGGGTTCTTCTTTGGAGCCGGGGATTTCGGGTTTAGTGTTCAGGGTTTCCCAGAACTCCAAAACTCCAGCAACCTCTTTGCACCCCGCTCCCTCCATAAAGCAGGCGAGTCGCGCATGTTCTCCGCGCAGTCGGCCTGCTCTCAGTTTCAGGGATTTGGGGTTGGTGGAACTTTGGGGTTTTAAGGCTTGTTTCGTTTGAGGTCTTGTCTGTAGTAGTCAGGGCTTAGTGCAGGGACTGTTCGGGTTTAATACGGGTCGGGGATCTATACCGCTGTAGGGCTCGTCTGAGGCCTGGAGGGCGTTGGTGCTCCAACCCGCCCTCAGACCTGCAGCCAGTGTTAGGCAGCGGAGAACCGTGAACTGCTGCTGGAACTGGTGAAATTCAAAACCCTTGTCATGCCGGCCAGCAAGATTACAATGGGAATCGCAACTCCCGTTTCCACCTTCTCTGACTGAGTGGGGACGTTGCCTTCGGCCTGCCTGACAATCCCCGGCCTGGTAGTTGTGAAGATCTCGCACGAATGCTTTGACACAGGGGAAGGCCGAGTAGCCATTCCTGTGGCGGCCCGGGCTTCGATAGTATTCGATAATCGCAGGAAAATGACAGCACTGATCAAATCCAGCTCGCTGCCAGCCTAAAGGCGATCATGGAAAGGCTCAAACCTCTGCCCTGGCGCCAAAACTCGACAAATACCCATGTGGTGGGAGTCTATACCGATGGAGCCATGCCCCAATCCATTGCACCGAGAGACAGCACTAGCGTCGAACCTTTCAACCTGCATGAAGCGAAATCGTTCACTTGGGGCCCGGGCTTGTCCAGCTGTGCCAGCTCGTTGGCCGCCGTGAACATCAAGGTATTGTTGTACTGGCTGAACCTTCACTTCAATGCACATGCTCACAAGGTTTGAGATCTGCGGCTTGTGTTTTTTGCAGTCTAGAATACTGATTGGGGCAACGATATGCGGTGCCTAATCCCTTCAACCATGAGAGGCGTCCACAAAACAACGACCCAGCTCGGACTCAGCCGCCTGTTTAGGCCCACTTGGTCATGCGAAATCCGAGCCGAGAAATGATATACCAACCTGATCTACTCGATACGTAGGCTGGACATCGGGTTTATGCAAATTTTTGCAGGCTTGAATCCTTGTATGGTTATGCATGACACGTCTAAGCTACCTACTAAGTCCCCCGATCCCTCCCAACTGCAGGTAAGGTTCTCTTTCATCAGAGTTTTTGCAAAGCCGAGCAGGTTGACGCCCACGTTGCCATAGTCTTCCAAGTCCTCTGAATAATTGACAGGTCATGATGTTTCATGGGCACAACGGTGATTACTGCTGTCACTAGCTTCAGCACAACGCTATATGCAATTGCTATACAAATCAGCGCAGTTTTTCTGTAGGAGTTTTTGCAGTAGTAGTAGTAGTAGTAGTAGCAGTAGCAGCCGTCGTCGTCGTCGTCGTTGTCGTAGTAGTAGTAGTAGCAGTAG